TTATAAAATTAATGTTTGACAAATTTTTTGATTCCATTGAAATGAAAATATTCAAGATGTTCCAAAAATGTCTATATTTATAGAATCAAAGTTCAGTGCTAAAATTTTCCATTTAATAATATATAATTACTTCATGGATCAAAATCATTAATATATTCGATGTTTCATTACTATCATCACTTAATGATTAGAAATTAATTATTTCAATTAATAATTATCATCATCAATAACATTTTCATCACCATGATCAATAAACCGAAAATTCTCATTTCTTTCTGGAATTTCTCCAGGAGTAGCTTCATCGTAATGCTCTTCGTCCTTCTGTATTTTGGATGATTTTCTGGGTCCTTGTTTTTTTGTAAATTTATCGCAACATAATTTTATAAGATCCATGAACAGTGCGGCACATTCCATTAATGTTATTGCACTAAAACCTGAAATAACAACTTGATGCTAATTTATTACATCTTTCCATCTCACTATTATAATTTTTTAAAGCTGGTAGCTAAATGATTGTGAAAATATTTCGAAACAAACTGCTTAATCATACCATAGTATTAAATTAATTGTTTCTTTTAAAAACAATTATATATTGCTTGCTTTAACCTCGTAAAAATGTAATTAAGATTCCAATCTATTAATTATTGCACATGCCAATTACTAGCCTAACAAGCAAGAATTATTAATCCATATATTATTATGCGTCAGTCCATCTAATTAATTGTGTGTAATTAAGAATTACCAATCTATTAGTTATTGCACATGTCAATTACTAGCCTAACAAGCAAGAATTATTAGTCCATAAATTATTATGCATGCCAAAAATAAGCTGCAAACAAAAATTATCAATCCATTAACTATTATACATGTCTAGCAAACAAGAATTATCAATCCATTATCTATTATGCATGCCAACAATTAGCTGCAAACAACAATTATCAATCCATTAACTATTATGCATGAAAATTAATAGCCTAGCAAACAAAAATTATCAATCCATTAATTACTATGTATGCCAACTATTAGTCTCGTAAACAAAGATGCATGCCAATTATTAGCCTAGCAAATAAGAATTTTCAATCCATTCAATTAATTATTATGCATGCCAACTATTGGCCTAGCAAACAAAGATAATCCGTAAATCCTTATTTGCTAGGCTAATGCTTGCTCGATCATTGTCTGCTGAGATTTCAATAAGTTCTTCAATGATTTCAATCCATATTGCGGCAGAAAATGTATTTCATATCTTTAACTCATTATTTTAGTTTATTATTGCGCATATTAATTTTAAAAATATTTCATTCTCATTGCATAATTAGGTGAACTTAGAATTTTTATACTTTTATAACATTCGATTTTCCCTTTTGGGGGCTGAAATTTAATTTTGAAATCGTATGATTTAGACTTTATTAATAATTTTACTGATTTAAAAATTCCCACTATTTATTATATTGAAATTATTGGCTTTGTTTTATTAAATTTAATTTCAGGATTATTTGCTGTTCACATTGCTTATTTTATTGAATGTAAAAAATAACAAAATTTGAATTTGAAAAAAAAAGCATACCCATCCATAAGCCAAGATGTGCGCCAACATCAGCCAATAAATTAGCAAGCTAAAATTTTCATTAAATTATTACTACAACCATTAGTAAGGTATGATTAGTATGAAGTCTATCATCTTATAATAAACGTAATTAATTTCAATTTAAACAGATAGAGAATAAGTAGTATTTTTATTTCACTGATATGATAACTTGAAATAATGCTGGTAAATATTTATATTTATTTCATTAGCCATATATTAAAAGTGCTTAATTACTCATTAAACTAACACCGTATGCTTCCGATTCTTTAAACAATTCGTAATTAAGCTGTTCATAGTAAACTTCAATCATTGCAGTATTTTCTCTATAATATTTTCTGCATTCCTTCTTATTCATATTCGGATCACAATTTCCAAGCTAAAATTTACAATACAAGGAAATGTTATTTGAAATTAATAAATATTAATAAACTAATTGTGATTAATCACAATAGCTCTAATAACTGCTAACCGAATATAGATTATTATTGTTGCATGGTACTAAAGTAATTGATGAGATATGCAGTATGGTATAAGAGTTTGAAAAAAGAAAAATGAAATTCCATATCGGGAAGTTATTGACGAATTTCGTAACTTTCTATTTATGTTCTATGTAATTTTAAATTGCAAGTTAATACTAAATTAATGTATTAAATTTAAATTGTATAACTAATTACAATCTATCAAACAAAATATTAAACTATAACTAATTACAATTTATCCAACAATAAAGTATATCCAAAGGTTTTTGTTTCTTTATTGATAAGCGATAGCGAAAGTTAAAAAATTAACTTCAACTTGTGAATTATAAAAAAATGTGATATAATTAACTAAAAGTTAATAAAATTTTTCCTTTCCTCTTTTTCGATCGTTTTTTAAATATTTTTATTTTCGGCTATTACTATTTCTTATAGTAAAATTATAATAAAATTTATAGTGAAAATTATTTTAGATCAAAAATGCTAATAATTTTTTTCAAACATACCTGCCATTTTGAAATTCATTTTGAAAAGTTATATATAGCAATAGAAGTAAACGTTAATGCATTAGTAATATCAGTAGCACTTTTCGGCTTTCTTTTTTATCAACGATATGTTTGGACGCTTTTATCAATGATGTCATTGATGGATGGAGGTAGTTATTCATATTTTTTTGATATTTCTAAAATTTTTCAAAATATTTTTGAAAGAATTTATTAAGGAGAAAAAATGACAAACATCGGCTGCACCGGATGGCCATTTAGAAGTAGAAAAGGTGACACTGTATACTTCGTTTTCACATAATTCTTTGCACTCACAATCCGTTAATTTATCCATGATACGATGAAAATCACCGATTTCGGCAATCGCCTTATTCAAGCATCTTCCTATAATATTCAATCGAACTTATGCTGAATAAAATTTTTTTTGGTTTTAAATTAATTAAATTAAATCTACGGCGTCTCTCGTAAATAATTTTCGAATTCAAAGATATAATCGTTATTAACTGATCAACTAAACAAACCTTTAATGCCCAGTATTCTTCATAACCAAATCTAATTATAAATTTAAATAAATTTAAGTATAAAATTAGCATTACTTTAAAAAGTAATTTCAAATATTTTGCCTTCAAGTAAATAAATAATTTAATTTCTTAATAATATTAGGAATGGATATTACTTGCTGTAGCATTAAAAGCGGAACAATGTGTTCTTCCTTCTGGAACCGGAAAACGCGGATCACCACAACCGCATTTATCAAGCAACGTATTTTGAAAGCAACTTCGATGACATCCCTATCATATTTACATTGTTACAGCTTATATCCAACGTGATAACAACAATGAAAAATATGTTATTGATTTAAAATTTTTTAAAAGTATTTCAATATTTAATAAATGGTGTTTGCCACGATAAAATTGATGCTGCTAAGATTTAGCTTACTTCTGGATTGTAATCGTAATCACCATAAATGTAAACACTTGAATTCAATTTTTTTTCTTGCTGACAGTCACCATATGGTGCAAATAATCTTTGAACGATGTGCTAGAAAATTGACATTGCATAATAAATATAATAAGTGAAATTTAGAAATTTTAGGAAAAAAATTTGAAAGCAAAAAAAGCTTCCAAAATTTGATCGATTCATTGAATATAGAAATTTTGATATAAAAGTTGAATTAAAGAAAACGAGCAATTTACCTTTTTTATGCCAAATGAAGAAGCAAAACCAACAGGTGCACTATAACCAAATGTATCCGGAAATGGAAAATCTGATGGACTGTGTACCGCTAATCGCACACCTGAAGCTTCCGATGTTGCCATATAATCTGATGTATTCACAAATAATATTACTCGAATACCTGTAATAAAATGAAATAATGATAAATTTCATACATGGCTTCAAAGGTTTATTAATTATCTAGAATTAAATCACATAAATCGTATTTTGAGTGTTTAAATTTAAATTAATTTTATTGTCATAGTATAAATTTATTTCATCATTAATCATGTGCACTGTGACGTTCATTCTTTCCTAAATCTATCTTCGCAAATTTTTGTAATTAATTACTTCTAATTAAAAAAATTCATGAAAAAGGTATCGGTAATAGAATAATATTACCAACCATACATTGGGCCAGCTTTACTACTTGAATGACTGTTATTTACATCCCAATTAAATGTATAGCAGTTCCCGTATTCCGGATCAACGTGTAGTTTGAAGTCAGCGTCTGTAATGCTATTCTGTCTTTCCGATATTGTTTTGATTATAAATAAATGCACCCTATTGTGTTCCTTCCAAACAATTATCATCGATGATAGCATTTCTGTTTGATAGTATCATTTCAAGAAAAAGTGAGAATATCAGAACTCATTTAACATTTTAAAAAATTTCTCAGTAATACAATTATTAAGTAAAACAGTAATGCAGTTATTAAGTAAAATAATGAACCAATATCGCATTCTTTTCCATCGAATGAACACATTTTGATGAATTCTCGTTTAGATTGAGAGAGCGCAATTCGTTGTTCTTTCGGTAATGCGCTCATAGTAAAGATCAAATTTTCTTTAGCACGTGTCAACATGGCTACACCATCTGTCATACCCTTTAATTAATTGCTAATTGTAATGATATAAATTGATTAGTGATTTCAAAAATAATAGTCATAGAAATTACAGCTATATTATCGATAAAAAAAATGATTTATTTATCAACTATCGATTTGTGCATAGCTAATTTGAACAATTTCCTGAAAATTTTCAGATATATCACTATATGATGATTTAGTTCAGATCCAATTAAATTATTCACCCCATTATTACTGCCTATAGAATCCTGATTGTGTTACTACTTGCGCAATCTGGATAATCTTTAATTTAAGAGAAAATCTCAGTGATATTTTACTTAGATGAACTGGTTCTAACGGTTTCTTTATCCTTAATAACGAATTAATAGTTCGGATAATCGATAATAGTTGAATAATCCTACCGTAAAACCCATTGCTATAACAGTTTCTGGTAAAGTAACGCGTGCTGATTGGCTTGTCAGTATTTCCATTGCTGTTGCTGTTGTTGACGTTGTCTTTTCCGTTGTTTTTGTCGTTGGCTTTTTTGTTGTTGTTGTCGTTGTCTTTTCCGTTGTTGTCGTTGGCTTTTTTGTTGTCGTTGTCGTTGTCTTTTCCATTGTTGTTGTCGTTGGCTTTTTTGTTGTTATCGTTGTCTTTTCCGTTTCTATTGGCAGGTATAATTTCGTAATCCATAACTGCCTCACGTTTTTAAACGATCGAAGACAATATGGTTTCTTGAGGAGAATGAAATTGGATTAACATACAGATTCAATTTTCTTCTTGATCGTAATAGATCGTAATAGAAATATCAACGAAAAAATGATAGCTCTTAGTGAACCGGTTTTTCGGAAGTTGCATTTTTTATTTCAGTCAAATATGGCCGTCCTCTAGCGATTACTGTGATTATATATTTATTAACTTTGATCAAAAGTAAAATTATGGATTACATATTAGTGTAGTGATCACTGTGATTATATAGCGATTACTGTGATTATATATTTATTAACTTTGTTCAAAATAAAATTATGCACTATGAAAAATCTTGAAAGCATGCAATAAATATATTCTTTAAATATTAGAAATGATATTTTG